AGTGACCATTTATGTTCCTTGCAACTAATGGACTAGAAAGCAACACACCGCCCATTAGCCGTGCCAGACAGAGAAGGCTGTTGTTAATTCCCAGCACCAGAACTAAATATGATTCTCAACTGAGAGGATTACAAGGCATTTGAGTATAGGCTGCCCCAATCAGAAGTGAACTTTGGATTTAAAAAAAAACTGCTCTGCTGCTGATGGAAGGTGTTTGTTTCGGGCCTATAGTTGCATGGGATCATGAAGGCTTACTTGCAGTAAGACATTTCCTTACTGATCATCTGTCATTTCTTCACTTAAAGGTATGGTTTGATTTTAGTCGCCCCCTGTGTAAGCAATTTTGTAAAGGAAGTTTCAGTGAAAGTTGAGATTCACTGAGGAAAAGGCTGAAGGCGAATCTGGCTGAGTGACTTTCATTACTGTTGTTCTTGGATGTAATGTTCTATGCCTTAGTGGAAACAAAGGAGCTCTGAAGAGCTAGCTGGACTATAAATCATTATTAGTATTCTGTGTTTGATTGATAATTTATTGAAAAGGCTTTACGGAGAGTTTTGCTGGTCAGCTTTAAGCGATTTTACTACTGATATATTTTTTTAAAAATGAGCTTTCGTTCCAAAGCTGCCTGGTGCCATTTGCATGCACATTAATCAACATTAAGTCTAGGATTAACTGAGGTCTTGAAATGTAGATGATCCAATGGTTCAGGTACTGTTCCCTTTGGGAGCATAAAGCATGGTGCTGAGTGCAAGTGAAGGCAACTGAGAGCTACACTGGAGAATAGGAATACTCAGAAAAAAGTATGACAGGCTTTGATGCAAAAACTTCAATCTGTTCCTTTAGTATTTAGTAAAGAAAGAATATTTTGAGGATATGCTTTTATCCTAATTTTGTATAGCTGGTTCTTCTGGTGGAAAAATTCCTGCATGGGCTGTAAAGGCAGGAGGATTAACACTTTTATGAAGATGAGACCTTTACAATATTCTGTTTTTACTTTTCTTCCATTTCTGACCCCTGTTAAATTTATTTAAACTCCATTCAATCGTAGACAATTGAATCAGCTGCCAGCTCTATTTACAAGCCTGCAATTAATGTGTTATCTTCACACTTGATGCCCCCATGCCATCTAATTTGCTTGATCACAAATCAGGAAACAGTTTGGCACAATGACGTCTTTGCTGACTGTGAACGTCATTGTATTGCTGCTGAATTTACTCACCTTGCGGCTCAGCAGGGGTGTCATTTGGACACCACCTTTATTCGAAAGCCCTAGGCCATTTTGAAGGTGTGCATTTTACCAAAATGGTTTTCTGTGTTATGCATGTTTTGCAAAATATTTTGGCAAGGTGCGTTATACTTACTTAGATATTGTGGCAGTATAATAGCAGAGATACATGAGCATCTAACTCACCGAGGGAATGGTATCAACCTGGGTTATCTGTCATTCACACTCTTTTAGCTTCGGTGGTAACTTTTGGGAGCACTGAACTCAGCTATTAGTTAGAGCAACAGGTCATATTTAAGTATTTCAGGCCTCAATTTCTATTTTGTTCTAGCTTGCCATAGCTCTCAAATCCTTGTTACTTCAAAAATCAATCTACCTCCTCTCCAAATACTTTCAGTGATCTAGCCTCCACAAGTATCTGGGGTACAGATTTCCAGACATTCACTACCCTCTGAAAGAAGAATTCCTTGTATATCATTATTTAAACGAATGTCCTGTTATTCTATAACTATGTCCAAGATTTTGAGATTCTCCCCACTCACGGAAGCATTTTCTTAAAATCTACCCTGTGAAGCCCACTCGAAACTTAATGTGTTTCAGTAACATCCCCCGTCATTCATCTCAACTCTGATAGGCTGAACCTGTTAAGCTGTTCATCCCAGGAATTAGCCTAGAGAATCTCTTTTGAACTGCCTCCAATGTCAGTATATCTTTTCTTAAATACAGGGACCAAAACTGTACACATTACTCCAGGAGCAGCCTAACCAATATTCTGTATAGTCGGAACAGAGCTTCCCTGTTTTGAAACTCCAAACCCCCAGCAATAAAGGCTAAAATTTGATTTGCCTTCTTAATTACCTGCTGTACCTACGTGCCAACTTTGTATGCTTCATACACAACACCACCAAGGTCTCTCTATACTGCAATTTTTGGAGTCTCTCTCCATTTAAATACGAACCTTGCTTTCAAAGTTTCTGACAAAACTGCATGGGCTGTCACTTTCCTACATTAAGATCTATCTGTCGAGCTTTTGCTTGCTCACACAACTTATTTATATCCCCTTGCAGACTCATTATTCCTCATCACATCATGCCCTCCCACATATTTTTGTTTCATGAGAAAATTTTTATATATTGCTTTTGGACCTCCTCCAACTGATTGATATAGATGGTAAATAATTGAGGTCCCAAGACTGATACCGTTGGCACTCCACTAATTACATAATTTCAACCTGACAAAGATCCATTACTCCCGATTTCTGGGTCCTGTTTGTTAAGCAATCCTCAAACCGTGCTCATACGTTACCACAATATTGTGAGCTCCTGTCTTGTGAAATAACATTTTTATGTGTCACTTTATTGAATGCAGTTTAGAAATTCAAATACACTACATCTACTAGTTCTCCCCTTATCAACTCTGCTTGTTATATACTCAAAGAACTCCAGCAAATTTGTCAAAAATAATTTCCCTTTCAGAAATCATTATTGCATTAAGCTTTTCTAAATATCCTGTTAATTCTTCCTTAATAATGAATTCCAGTGTTTTCCCAATGTTCCCAATGACAGATGTTAGGCTAGCTGATATATAGTTTTCTGTTCTTTGTTTCTTTTCTTCTTGAACAGAGTGTCACATTAGCAGTTTTCAATCTGTTGGAACCCTCCTCAAATTCAGTGAGTTCTGGAATATTTCAACCAATGCCTTCACTATCTCTGTAGCCACTTCCTTTAAAACTCTTGGATGAGGGCCATCAGGTTCTGGCAACCTGTCTGCCTTCAGCCCCATGAATTTGTCAAATGCTTCATCCCTTGTGATAGAAGCTGGTAGAAGACCTTTCCTCCCATTAGCATCTTGCTTATCTGATAACTTTGGGAGTTTTAGAGTGTCTTCAACTGTAAAGGACAATGTGAAAATTGGTTTAAATTATCTGCCATTTTCCTGAGCACTAGTTACGAAAGTGTTGGATGGAGGATTTTGGAGCTAAACTGATCAATGTAATGTAAGCTGAAAATTTAACCCTCACTGATGAATAAGTTAACAGAAAGGAATGCAATTTTAAGCATATTCTGCCCATGAGCAAATTATATGAACTATTCAAATGCAGTCTACTGATTCTCTCCCAAAAATTGCATTTATTATACATGTATGTTAGATCTTCCCAGGCTCAAAACCTAAGGGTACTTCAGAGTCTCCATCATGAGAGTACTTTCCCCTTGGTCACCAAACGTTTCAGAGAATACAACAGGAAAGCTGAAAACAGTGTATATTTTATTGATGATTATAGCTAGTTAATACCAGAGAATGTGTTTATCTGGAAAGGGATGAGGAGGTGAGGGAAATAGGATGCAACTGTGACATATCCAGGAATACAGAGTACTGGGCTAATGGTAAGATTCTTGGTAGTGTGGATGAGCAGAGAGATCTCAGTGTCCATGTGCATAGATCCCTGAAAGTTGCCACCCAGCTTGATAGGGTTGTTAAGAAGGCGTACGGTGTTTTAGGTTTTATTGGTAGAAGGATTGAGTTTCGGAGCCATGAGGTCATGTTGCAGTTGTACGGCCGCACTTGGAGTATTGCATACAGTTCTGGTCGCTGCATTATAGGAAGGATGTGGAAGCATTGGAAAGGGTGCAGAGGAGATTTACCAGGATGTTGCCTGGTATGGAGGGAAGGTCTTATGAGGAAAGGCTGAGGGACTTGAGGCTGTTTTCGTTAGAGAGAAGAAGGTTAAGAGGTGACTTAATAGGGACATACAAGATGATCAGAGGATTAGATAGGGTGGACAGTGAGAGCCTTTTTCCTCGGGTGGTGATGGCTAGCACGCGGGGACATAGCTTTAAATTGAGGGGTGATAGATATAGGACAGATGTCAGAGGTAGGTTTTTTACTCAGAGAGTAGTAAGGGCGTGGAATGCCCTGCCTGCAACAGTAGTAGACTCGGCAACTTTAAGGGCATTTAAATGGTCATTGGATAAGCATATGGATGATAATGGAATAGTGTAGGTTAGATGGGCTTCAGATTGGTTTCACAGGTCGGCGCAACATCGACGGCCGAAGGGCCTGTACTGCGCTGTAATGTTCTATGTTCTATCCATTTACTTGTTTTGTCTTGCATGTTGATGGAGAAGTAGAAAGAAGAATTAAACAAACTTTTAAAGTTGCCCTTTTGTGTTCACCATGCTTTGGTATAATTGGATCAACATTTAGGAGGAAGTATAGAAGGATAGATCTGGTTAGATGAAACAGGTGGGAGGAGGCACATATGGAGTGTAACTACCGTCATAGACTAGTTGGGTTGTACAGCCTGTTTCTGTTCTGAACATTCTATGTAGTACTAAGATAAGGAGGACTTCAGACCTGACATTCTGGACATTTTCATCAAAGCAGCAAATGAGTCTATAACATCTGTACAAGACTATGTGAGTTTTGTGTGAAATAAGGAGGAAAATGGTTTGCCAAATCTTGTTTTGTTTGCAGAGGGAGAAGTATTGTGTGTCATTTCTGCAATAATGATGATATCAATTGCTGGTGATGCAATGCTGCATTGAATATGATTTGCATATTTGCAAACAAATGAAAATTGGTTTATTAAACAACAGTGTCATGTGAGCAACTTATTCTTAAAAACTTAAATTTCGGTATCTTGCACCAAAATGTTCTCTTTTTAGAGGTAGCTATGAAACTATCTTATCTACATTAAAATAAAGCTGTTTTGAGGTGGCATTGGCTGCTTTATCAAGCCAGCCTTGTGCAAAAGCAGCAATTTTTTTTTGAACAACCTTACTGAAACCATTTAGTTTGTGTAGGTGTCTGACCGGCTGAGCTTGAATTTCTGAAGTTGAGAAACATGTTTCAGGAACATTGCAGCCTTAAAGTGCACAGTAAGTCTGTTCCCATTGAAACATTTTATCTTATCATACTGTACGGTTTAGAAAGTGAAAAACAAACACAGGACAAAAGCACAGCAACCTTCAAAAATATATTTACTTTGTTTTATTTCATATACATCATACGTCAGTGAGCAGAGCGGAAGGAGTGGTTCAGACAAACATTTTCTTGCCTGTAAGAGTGCATCTTTGTTGCATATTAAAATGAGAAAATAAAAAAAATGCCTTTGTTAATGCAGTTTTGCTGTAGTGCATACTGGGCCAAAAACACACTTATGTTGTTATTTACTTACATTTTAGTGTGACATAAGCACAAATTTTATTTTTCAATTCTACCAGAGAAGAACCAGAGCTTACTTGTATGCCAATTTTTTTAAACCTTCCGATTTTATTCTTTATTTTCTAAAACAAAGTTGATAAAGATGGGTTGACCTTTGTCTGATTGCAACCTGCAACCTTGTTATTGCATTTATTTTAATTTTCTTGAAATATATTCTTGTGTTTTGGTGTTATAACCTGCATCATTAGAATATCAGCTTTAATACTTGTCACCATAAACATGACAGATAAAAAGTAAAAAAGAAGTTTGAATTGTTCGTCTCACTTCTCTCCTTTAGTTAAACATTCTGACCAGAAACGTGTTTCTCTATTAGTATTTAAATGATGCATATTGGTAATTGCATTAAAACACTCTGTGCCAGCAGAAATTGCATAAGTTCATCTACTAAACTGTATCTTTGAGTATGAAGGAAAACCAGTCAGATTACTGCAAGTCCAGTTCATTTTGACTTGACTAAAGTGATCAGAAGGTGGTCACTATAGAAATCCCTTCATGGATTTCTGGTGAAATGTTTACATTTTCATTGGTGTCCATCACAGTTATTCACTTGGTAGGCATTTCACATTGTCCAGAGACTAATAAGGGCCATTGTTCATTCTAAACTAGCGACTGGACATCTCTCTCTCTCTCTCTGTGAGTGTTTACAAAATAACTCTGAGGAATTCTTCAGGCACCCACTTCTTTGTAGGTTGAAGTAATAGCCTGTGCTGGTGCCAACTAGCAGCTTGATGACTAAAGCCTCTGTGGTGGCCCTTGGGTAAGTCTGGAGGAGCCACAAATAAAAATGGCCCATTTTAGATCAGATACAGTCAATAATTTAACAAAGTCACAATAGCGGCTGAGGAAGGCCAGCTTGGATTTGCTTTTACCAGAGAGAAATAAAAAGGAGGATTAAAATCTCAATCTATTTTGAAATGGGAAAATTAGCCCAATACTTATCTGTAATTATTTTAACTGAAATGCAGATATTTCTGTCAATTAAGGGAACTGGTTTTGTTTTTCAAGATTTCTAGGCAGATCACTTCCTATTTATGTGAACTGCTGTATTTGAAATTCTGGTGGTTTACAAAAGTTATTAAACAAATAGCCTTCAGGTTATGTACACCAGGAGTGAATCGGCTACCAACTGCTTTCTGCTTTGAGTTAAAAAAAAGGATAATTTCAGTATCATTTGTACTTGCCTGGATAGGGGTGCAGAGCTTATCAGTGCAATAAAATGCAAATGTTCAATGAAGCACTATTGTTGCATCTTTCCCACAGTCTTAGTGAGTGAGTAAGTGACTGAGTCACGGTAGCTGGTGCTAGGGTTTGAGCTTGTTGCTCCGAGGAGAGATTCTTGTCAGGACTGAAATTGGTATTTATGATGAGAACAATATTTACTGTTGTCCAGGTCTTGCAGGTTGGGAAAGTATTGTTACCCTTTGAGGGTGATATATGTTCTGCTGCTGCCCCTACTCTGAGACATGACTTCATTGCTTGTTTAGCTTGTGCGATATTTGTGAGTGTGGTAGCTAGTGATTAATCATTTATCTTCTTTTCTCTAAAATATTTGAATCACACTGCACCGGGAACGTTCACGTGTTATTCAGCCAGAATGCTGTGGACATGCAAAAGACCTTAAAAGGCATGTTTTTTATGGAATAAAAAAGCCTTTTAATGCTTGTCCAGCCTTAGATAATTTTATTCACTCCTTCAAGACCTCTTTCTTTCTCTTGCACCCAGAGACCAGTTTTTAGGGGGTGGGTTGATAGCTTCCCAGGACTCAGACCTTTTGTTGTAGCCTGAGACAAATATATCCAGTGAAGCCTTGAACCCTTGTGCAATAAAGAATCTTCGGCACGTTGCTAAGAAATGGTTAAACTACCGTTGCAAAGGAAGGGCACAGCCAATTGTGCCAAGGTATATCTGGACCACACAGCTAGAGTGAAGACGAATATTCCCTTTTAAAAAAAAATCATTTATTTTCAAAGGACATTACCCAGCCTGAACTTGCCTAAACCCTTGTGGTCACACCTCTTTGAAAAGGTTTTGTTTCACCCGTCAATTGGTATTCAAACCAGGTCAGCATTTCTGTTTGCCCAACTTCGCTGCCGTTTTCATTTTAATTTGCACCTGTTGTGCAGTTGTTGGGAAGGCAAGTGCAGGCCCGCGGATTGTACAAAGATCATATTATGAGTAGATATGCACAGTGTAATCTTTTTGTCTCAGCTAACATATATACATACACATATATCTATAAGAAACTATTTTTGTTACTGTTCTTAACAAAACAGTAAGCAGCAAATCTTCCAGAAGCAGAAAAAGAAGCAGATATGAAGGCTTGGAGAGCAAGGATTGTAAATTTCAATGTTTCACAAATTCCTCAGAAGGGACTTGAAAACCTGATACAAGCACAATACTATTCCTGCCACTCCTGTATAATCTGATAGCTGGCAAGAGCTAGTTGAGACAGTTCAATGGATAAAACTTAAGGATTTATTTATTAAGAGCACAGGAATCAAAATGAATCAAAATGAATCTGAAACTGTTTGAGGTTTAGCTGGAGATGTTTTTCTTCTTTCCTGTCCCCATGATGCTAGAGTCCATATTACTGAGCTGCTCGTGTGCGTATGTGGGCGGAATTGAATGCCTTCTTCATGGCGGGTTGGGTGACGGAGGGACCCATTTAATCGGATGTGAAAGAGTTGTGGGTTCATCTCTGCCACCTTCCTGCTTCCAACAAGGCTAAACCCGTGATAGGAAAGCTTGTGGGTGGTCTTCTCGCACTGCTGAGGCCTGTATACAGACTCTCAATGCCCATGTAAATGCCTCATCCTGCTCCTGCTGGTATTGATTCAATAATAGGTCAGGAATTCACCATGCAGAAGGCCTGAATGACATACCTGCTGAGGTTGCTTGCAGGTTTCCGGGAGAGAGTCCTTCATTCAGAGGCACTGGATATTTGCCCAAAGAACCTGGCAATGAGAAATTGGGGATGAGGCTGGTGAGACCTACCCTTGTGCTGTTGCTGCCAACTCACTTCTCCCCCTTTCCTGCAAACCCCACCCCATAAACTCCTCTGCTATCATTTGCCTGTGGCTTGAGCTCCTTGGCGACCTCAGGCCTTGGGTGGGTGCACTACCAGCAGCTGCCACTGCTTCCCTGGTGGTGCTGCTGAGCAATGAAGAGCATCCCTCAGCAGGCAGACCACCTTGTGGTCTTTGATCTTGGGGCAGACCCAGATTAGCACTTAGTGTAGCAGCACTTCTCAAAAAGTGATGATGGCACTGCATCCCTATCATCTAGATTGAATTCTACTGTGTGTATTTTTGTGTGTCTGTCTGTTTGTTTTTCTTGATAGCCGGATTAAACAGATTTTGGCAGTGTTGTGTCTGTGTATGTGTAACTGATGGTATGTTTCTCTAGCTAAACTAATGTCCCTGTGTTTATTACTCTAATCTTTCTTGTCTAGTGGTAAAGTGGACAATTTATGTACTACCATGCACACTGAATGACTAGGAAGGCAAGCTAATGCAAAAACAGCCACCTTCAATTCAGTTCAAAGAACTTATTTATAAACTGTCTATTTTAAGGAATACTGATACATCAGGTCTGAGTGGCAAAATAGACTGGCTTAATTTGGTTTTTGAACTATTCTGACATTTGAAGTGTATTTTGAAGCTTATTTGGCATATTTTGTGAGTGTTCTGAAAAATTTAGAAAGTGGAACGCCAGGTGTGATGTCTGGAGTAAAGAAATTAATTTGAACAGTGAGATTGGACCAAATTTGGGAAAGCCCAAGAACAGTAGAGCTTTTTGGCCATTTGACCTTCAGCTTCCCACTTCATAAAAACAATATTTTCATGTCCATATTTGTAACTCTCTAATCTTCTAATTCCTTTCTTTTTTAGTTTTGAACTATGAGAATGTAGTGGATACGGGTTCAGAAACAGATGATGAAGACAAGCTTCACATTGCGGAAGATGACAGTATTATTAATGCCCTGGACAGAGATTCCAGTCCAGTGACTATGCCCAACCACGATTCTTCCCCACATGGAAACCAAGTACTGTTGCCAAGGGAGGACGAGGAAAGTGAAAAGAGGGACTGTGGCACAGAACACACCTGGCATAGCAGGGAGACACTACCAGTCTCAATAGATAGTACTGGTAAGTCTGGCTTCTGAAGTGTTTATTTGATCTTCACTTCTGGAAATATTAAAGTACGTGAGGTTGTCTATGCACAAGATTCTTATTTCTAATTTATTTAACTGAACATGCTGGTTGGACAGTGGAATGTGCTACAGATGTTTTATGTTCTGAATGTGCCATGATTCAACCATTGTTAAATATGTAATTTGGTGATACCCTTCAAGAACCAATGTAGCTCTATAATTCAGAGGTCAAATTCGTAAAAGAGCTCTGCTGTCAGTGTTATGAATCTTGTACCTACCTGATTTGTTGAGTTTAATTAAAGAATAACATTGGGGAGTAGTGCAAATGCAGTTATTGTTGTTTAATTAAAGCAAAGCAACATTACTTTACCATCTTGTTTAACACTGAGTTCCGGCTTCTGTGAAATGATGTTAAAAACTCTTTAGCCACTAATTCCTGTCAATTGAAGATCTACAAATGAGGGTTGCAGAGTGAGGTCAGTGCCACCTCCGTTTAAGGCTTGCTTAAAAGAAAATCTCAAACAAAATGCAGCTCCAGCTGTGATTTTCAGATCAACATACTTTAATACCAAATGTTAAAAGAATACAATTCAATTTATTAGTTACAGTTTTGCAATCATGGAATGTCTGGTCTACTGTAAATTAGAGTAATCCAATGTAAAATGTACAGTAATGCATTCTCTTAGAATTTACATAAAATTTAGTATACTTTTTGGTCTATTTATTTGCTGAATGCTGATTTTGAAGTTGCAGTGCTTCATCAAAGCATTATAATAAGTTTTTTAGTGAGTTTGCCATGTACAGTATAGAAAACAAGCATAAGAATGCAAGAAAACAAATCCACACTCTTAAGAGTCTTTGATGGAGCCTTACCTTTTTACACATCAAACAGCTGCAAATAATTATTGGTCAGTGCATTGAGTATGGGAGTTGGGAGGTCATGTTGCAGCTGTACAGGACATTGGTTAGGCCACTTTTGGAGTACTGCGTGGAATTCTGGTCTCTCTGCTGTTGGAAAGATGTTGTGAAACTTGAAGGGTTCAGAAAAGATTTACAAGGATGTTGCCAAGTTTGGAGAGTTTGAGCTTTAGGGAGAGGCTGAATAGCCTGAGGCTATTTTCCCTGTAGTATCGGAGGAATAGGGATGACCTTATAGAAGTTTATAAAATCATGAGAAGCATGTATAGGATGAATAGGCAAAGTCTTTTCCCCAGGGTGGGGGAGTCCAAAACAAGACAGCATAAGTTTAAGGTGAGAGGGGAAAGATTTAAAAGGGACCTAAGGGACAATGTTTTCATGCAGAGGGTGATGAGTCTATGGAATGAGCTGACAGAAGAAGTGGTGGAGGCTGGTGCGATTACAACATTTAAAAGGCCTCTGGATGGGTATATGAATAGGAAGGATTTAGAGAGATATGGGCCAAATGCTGGCAAATGTGACTAGATTTATTTAGGATATCTGGTCTGAATGGACGAGTTGGGCCGAAGGGTCTGTTTCCGTGCTGTATATCTCTATGACTCTGTGACTCTAATTATTAAGCTGAAAGCTTTTTTCTTTATTTCTGTTGATGTTTTTTGCTTTCTGGAATGGGGAAAGTACAGATAACATCTGCAAGGGAACCATACTGGAGGAATCACTGAGACTTAGTGCAAGAGCAAAATCAGTGAGAATGAACACAACTGACAGACATTGTAGCATCCTATTTTAACAACTATCTGTTACTTGCATTTCCTTACACTCCCTGATTCCACAACTTCTCCAGAGCTCCAGTTGGTATCATCAACGTTCAATGGTAAAATTGTTGTTTTGAAAAAAAGTTGATTTTTTTTATGGGCTATGGTCAGAGATAATACATCTTTAAGGAGTATTCAAGGATTGGCTTGGGAATACATTGTGTGCACATAAGCATGGTAATTTAGCCAGCTTTTCAAAAGTTGCTGGGCAGTGCTTAGCCTGAAATATGAGTTCTCTATGCAATCGAGAAGGTTCGATGGCATGGGCACGTCAAGTGGGCAGTCGATAATCCATCTATCTGCTTGTGTTCCCACCACAGTTTTGCCAGTGGTAGGGTTGCCTTGCCAATGGAATAGTTAAAGTCCTTGAGTGGGCAGTTAGTGCCCTCTGATTCGGAAGCTGCTGGATTTGACCAGAGGCAGGGGAGTCCCAAGGCAAGTGGCCAGCCCTCTAGATTACTCTGTGCTGTTTGCTACGCAAGGGAGTCCCTCATTAATGAGGAGTTCTGCACAGGGGAGGCAATGGCCTTGTGGCATTATCACAGGACTGTTAATCCAGAGTCCTAGGTAAGGTTCTAGGGACCTGGGTTTTAGTCTTGACACGGCAGATGGTGGATTATGAATTCAATAACAAAAAATCTGGAATTAAGAATTGACTGATGGAAATTGTTAATTGTCAGAAAAACCCATCTGGTTCACTAATATCCTTTAAGGAAGGAAACTGCCGCCCTTACCTGGTCTGGTCTATATGTGACTCCATACCTGCTGCAATGTGGTTGACTCTTACTCCCCTCTGGGCAATTAGGGATGGGTAATAAATGCTAGCCTGGCCAGTGATCCCCTCATCCCATGAATGCCTAAAAATTAATGTATCACTGTCCCTTCCTCCTTCCTTCCTCCCAAAACCTAAGCCTCCATACCCTCGGTCTTGGGCCTGGCACAACCTCAAAACACTTACAAAGTTGATCAAGTGCTAAATACCTCCTCAGGCCCTGGGTGCAGTACCACCCATAAGCACCACTTGTAATGGTGCTGCTGGTATTGGAGAACTGTTGGTCTCTGATTGTCTGGCAGCTCTGTGAGATGGAACCACCTATCCTGGAGGGCAGTTATTAAATGGCTTTGGCTTGCTGTTTTTCTGCTTGGCAGGTTTGCCCTGACATTTTTCTACCTTTCTCTGGACTATCTTTCTCCCTACCTCTGCACTCTTTCTCTACTTCTCTGTAATTCCTCTCTCCTCTTCTGTTTCTCTCCTTCCACTACAGGGTGACAGGATGGTGGAGGGTTGAGAGACACCACGGATTAGACCATTGGGTCCATGTGTATCTGTGTGTGTGTCATGCTGGATTGACTGAGATAACTGGCTATGGGGTTTCAGGCTGAGGAGCATACATGCAAACCTTGCACCTTAAACATGATGTACCACAAAAAAGTCCTAACTCCAGAAATAACAAGATTCAGTACTTTAAAAATATTGTATATCAAACATGGTGATTTTCATAGCTATGTGCCGTCAATCATCACGATTAGATTAGCATCCCCCACTATCAACGTCCTAGGGGGTTACTGTTGACCAGAAATTCAACTGGACTTGCTACATAAATACAATGATTACAAGAGTAGATCAGAGGCTTGGAATGCTGCAGCAAGTAAGACACCTCCTGATCCCCAAATCCTGTCCATCATCTACAAGGCACAAGTCAGGAGTGTGATACAATACTCCCTACTTGCCAGGATGAGTGAAGCTGCAACAACACTCAAGAAGCTTAACACCATCCAGAACAAAGCAGCTCACTTGATTGGCACCACATCCAGAATTATCACCTTCGTCCACCAAACTTACCATCACTTCCATCTGGAAGGACAAGTGTAACAGATACATGAAAACCCCACCACCTGCAAGTTCCCCTCCAAGCTGCTCATCATCCTGACTTGGAAATACATTACCATTCCTTCACTGTCTCTGGATCAAAATCTTGGAATTCCCTCCTTTAGGGCATTGTAGGTCAACCTACAGCAGGTGACTGCAGCAGTTCAAGAAGGCAACTCACAACCACCTTCTCAAGGGTAACTAGGAACAGGCAATAAATGCTGGCCAGCTAGCGACATCCATAACCCACAAGGGAATGACAATTAAAAAAACTTTCCTCAATGTGGATTGTGATTTAAATTAACTTATAAGAACTCACAACTATGATTGGCTGGTACATTGTGCATGAGGATCAAGCCAGGGTGAGTACAAATGCTCCACTTTGATCTTACATTGACCTTTCTGTTCTTGGCCTTCAAATGAATCTCATACTAAGCTTGAGGAACAGCGCCTAAGCTTTCAATTAAGCACTTTGCAGTCTTCCAGACTCAACACTTGAGTTGAAAAGTTTCAGACTATAACCTCACCCCCATTTTGTTTCCTTTCTCTTTGCAGGTTTCGGTTTTACTCTCGTTTCTGTCTTGCTTTTGCTTTTGGATGGCAGCTGTTCACTGTTCTGACATTCACACCTCCTCCAGAAGCATCTTTTGTTTCTTCACTTGTCCTGTTATCGCTCCCTTTGGCCTTGCTCCACCAACTCCTTTGTCATTCAGTCTGCCTGCCTTTCGCCCCACCACAGGACTTATTGTTCTTTTCCAACCCTTTCCTTTTCCATTTGCTTAAAATGATTATGTTTCTAACTTTTGCCGTTTTGATGACGTCATTGACCTGCAACGTTAACTCTTTCTTTCTCTGCAGATACTGTCAACTGGTCAAGTATTTCTGGCTTTTCTGTTTCATTTCAGATTACCAGGCATTTCAGTATTCAGGTTTTTGTGGTCAAGTGCAAGTTTCCACAAACCATGATTTTGTCCTATGTGTTGGCATTGTGATTTTGCCATACCTGAACCCCTTATTACTTTGACCATTGTTGAACTGTCAACATTTAATGGTATGGGTAAATTTACCATTTGGTGCTGTTTTATAATGAACAGAAGATCAAAATCACTACAACGATAAGCAGAGAATAATACAAAACAATAAAATGTGAAAAAAGAACTGACTGACAAGAAAGGTCCCAGACCAGGAGAATTCTGTTGGCTAAATTGCCAAAATGATAGGGGCTTTGTATGTAGAGTGCCTGACTGTTTGTAGATCATGGTAGATGGTAGATCATTTCAATGTTCATTGGTCAGCTGGGTGCTCTATATTGCTTTCATATTGATCTTTCCATCTTCCAAGTAAGGTCCAAGGAATCTTAATAGGCTATTTACAGCCACCAGAATTCAACACTGAGTTTAATTTCATATCATAATCTCACCACCATTTTGTTTCTCTTTGCAGGTTTTAGTTTTGCTTTCATTTTTTTCTTTTTGCTTTAGAATGGTAGCTGTTCATCAGGCTGACATTCACACCTCCTCCAGACACAGCTTTTATTTCATTACTGGTCCCATTATCAATCACCTTGACCTTGCTCCACTAGCTCCTTTGTTATTTAATGTATCTCATCTTCGTCCATATTTTTGAATTTTGGGTTGCAACTTGGTCCATTTGTCCCAGTGGTGATTTCAAAATATGACTTTTTTTTTTGAGCCAATTTTTTGTGAGTACAATCATTCTCTGGGAACAATGCACCCCACCCTTGACATCACATCTCAAGTCTTACCTGCCTGTAGCCCAGCTCACCATTGGAACCACCCTATGACTGCCCTCCAGGCAAGTTGAAGAGGAAGTATATTGTAGATGCATGATATATTGAGGCAATGTCAATGAGGCCTGAGCTTCTTCATATCTCTGCCAATCAACTGTCGAAATTATCAGCCATATTTCTTCTCCACACACTTATGACCATCAAATTGTGATTACTGGTCAAACAGCCTGGTGACAGAAAGTATATGAAGACTGGGAGCTGGTCTCTTAGGACTGCAAACCCAGAAATCACCATTTTCAAGAAAACAGGAATAAACTAAACTTGCAATTCAAGATAGCTCTGTCATCAAAGCAGGGACTGAAGATAGTAAAGTTTTTTTAAAATTCTAAACCTAATGTTCCAGCCTGTGTTCTGTTTGACTTTGGACCATTGTTTGAAGAAGATTCATGAGTTTGCACATGTCATTGCAGTTTCTGGATGAATTCTCCAGGAGAATATGACCACATCTATTTGAAGTAGCAAGTCAGGATGTAAAGCAAGTTATCAAATGGCAGCTGTGTCACTGACCACCCAAGAAAGGGAAGTAGGTGACCTGTGGGATATTTCAAAACCACTTTAAAAATGAGTTGCTGACAAGGCCTGAGAGTACATGCACCTGTCATGAAGGAGGGTTTGGGGCAAACAGCTCAGACTGAATAGACTGGTGGTTCAGGCAGCCTACTGTATTGTACTGCTCCTCAAGTAGCTGTGATCGAAATCAGGCAAGATTGCATCTGTCTTCACAAGTCTTATTAAGGCATTGTATTGCTGGTTTTATTGCTCCTGCCGAGGATGTGCAGTGGTTAAAGATATCTGGTTCTATGAATTTAACCCTTATAAATGGCTGTCTGTACTTCGGACATTTGGTCCAGAGGCTGGGGGCTAGTTTAGATGACAGGACGGGTGACAAAATGGCTGTTTTTACATCAGTTCTCCAGTCTGGAGGCTGGATTAGAGATCACAGCAGGTGACCCCTGGAAGAACTGGGGAAGCAGCCAAGTCTGAAGGCAGGCTGCCCTGAAAAGTCACTTCTGCCATTTTCACCATATTGGAGAGTTAATTAATGATCTAGATGAAGGAACTGAGGGCATCCTTGCTAAGTTTGCAGATGATACAAAGATAGATGGAGGGACAGGTAATATTGAGGAGGCGGAGAGGCTGCAGAAGGCTTTGGACAGGTTAGGAGAGTGGGCAAAAGAGTGGCAGATGGAATACAATGTGGAAAAGTGTGCGGTCATGCACTTTGGTAGGAAGAATAGATGCACAGACTATTTTCTAAATGCGGAGAAAATTCAGAAATCTGAAGTGCAAAGGGACTTGGGAGTCCTAGTCCAGGATTCTGTCAAGGTAAACTTGCGGGTTGAGTCGGTTGTTAAGAAGGCAAATACGATGTTGGCATTTATTTCGAGAGGACTAGAATATAAAAGTAGGGATGTACTTCTGAGGCTTTATATGATTCTGGTCAGACCACATTTAGAATATTGCGAGCAATTTTGGGTCCCATACCTCAGGAATGATGTATTGGCCCTGGAGTCGGTCCAGAGGAGGTTCATGAGAATGATCCCAGGATTGAAAGGCTTAACATATGAGGAACATTTGACGACTCTGGGTCTATACTCAATGGAATTTAGAAGGATGAGGGGGGTATCTAATTGAAACTTACAGAATAATGAATGGCCTGGACACTGGGAAGATGTTTCTATTAGCAGGAGAGACTAGGACCTGAGGGCACAGCCTTAGAGTAAAGGGAAGACCCTTTAGAACAGAGATGAGGAGAAACTTCTTTAGCCAGAGAGTGGTGAATCCATGGAATTCATTGCCACAGAATGCTGTGAAGGACAGGTCATTGAGTATACTTAAGACAGAGATAGATAAGTTCTTAATTGTCGAGGGGATCAAAGGTTACGGGGAAAAAGAGGGAGAATGGGATTAAGAAACATAACAGCCATGACTGAATGGTGGAAGACTTGATGGGCCGAATGGCCTAATTTCTGCTCCTATGCCTTATGGTCTTATGGTCTAACAGACTTCTGCCATCTAGGCTGCATGCCTTTCTTCAAAGGCATTGCTGATCAGGACAATAAAGTTTCGTTGTGTGACATTTTGACAATTTGCTAGTGTCTAGGAAATGTTAACTTCCAATGAGACATCCTGTGACTTTTATAATTTCTGGGAGATGATTAGGAAATTATGCATGATGCATCCAAAAATCCAGAAGTACTTTCTCAGCAGACAAAACTCTCTGCTCAAAGAGCAAAGCCAAATACTTCCCTTCAGTATTAATGAATTTAAATAAGATCAGTTGAAAACCTTTAACCTGGAAAGTTTGGCATGCAGTACTGCGTGAACATAGAATGAGAATCAGCCATTCAGTTTCTTGAGTCTGCTCATTATTCAGTTAGACTATGAGTGAACTGTATCTTAACTCTCTCAACCCACCTTAGTTCAGAAAAATTTATAGCTTTGCCTAACCAATATCCACAGCTGTATATATTATGAGTAGTAGTCACAACAGTAAGCTGGAGAGCTTTGGCTAATATTTGCTATTCCCCCTGCTGGGGGAATGCACCAAAGTAATATTTCCTGCAAAATACATTCAAAATCATGGAAAATCAGTTTATGTTTAATGGTGGGCTGTAGAGGGTTAGAGAAGGATAGAGTGTAAAAAATGTTCGGAATGTTTGATATTGCAAATTTAAAACTGTGGATTTTGTACCAGGTATTGAGAATGTAATAATTCACAGTTGCGTGTTAGGTTACTTTTAATGCTCAAAGATTTCTCAACATTTTAAAAAAAGTCTCTTCAGTTAAGATGATTCACAATTAAATTTATTATGGCTTGTCAGGTTTTTAACTCTTAACAGTAGAGTTAAAATTTAATAAAGAAATAACTGAGAATAGAAGAAAGATAAATATGTTTAATTAGGGTAGAAGATGATTGCTGAAGGAAATGCAACTCCTACAGAAGGCACTAACAATTTAAAATTAACCTTTTATATTGAATCCCTTTCACATGTCTGATGAGAATAATGATTCCTCACATTGTTAACCATTTATATATTTGCAGTCCCTATTTCTTTTTTTACAGTATGAATTACATACAGTGTTTTGAGGCATCTGTTGCAAACTAGGTTGTCTGATGTAAAAAAATTATCATTTGCTTTGTTGCTGCTGTGAAGTGCTTCGAGGTTCCATAAATACAGTCTATGCACAGTTAGTACTGCGTTCCTTGTGTTACAACAGTGCCTACGCTTTCAGTGAACTTCATTGGTTATAATGCTTAGGGTGTCCAGAGGTTGTGTAAAATGCGTGATGAATGCAAATCTTGTTTTTTTTATATAGAGTATCAAGTTAACTTTGTGGGAGTATTTTCAGGCAGTAGCATTTTGAGAAGATTCAAATGATGTTAAGTCTCCCAGTTTATGTCTACATGTTAACCTCTTGAAGTATTAATGCCCCATGGAAAGCTCCCTTCTACATTTCACTGACCTAAACCTAAAGCTAGATTGATTCTTCTATTTGTCCAAATTGGTTGTTAAAACTCTGGGTCCTTTGTAGCCTTCTTACTCGAGGTGACTTCAGTTATCATGTGTTAGATCACTTTCACAAATGAGTCCCAATTCCTGCTTATGAGTGTTGATCCAAGCTGTGAAAGTAAGGTAAGAGTAGCACATGTGAAATGAGAAATAGAAAACTATGTTTGCTGATTCTGAGCATGATTGAATTTATGTAAACTCCACATGATTTCCCCCAAATCATTAAAACGAATTTAACATTCCATCAGATATCATTTAATTGTAAAATGTCAAGTAAACATGCAAATAAAGCAAAACTTTAAAACAAGCAAATAAGTTGATATAATTATGTATTTATGGACAGAAGTATTATCTAATTCTTCAAATTAAAATAGCAATAAAAGTTTGCAGTCTCATGCAAAGTTGTTTTTTCAATGGTAACCTTTATAGTTGTAATCCTTTCTTTGGTGAAATCTATTTTACTTTTTCAGTGTTTCTAAACAGTCTGACTCTTCTCAGCCCTATTATGTGCAGGGTTTCAACACCTCATACACCTATCACTAGTTCCCGTAGCTTGATTGCATTTTCAGAACCGACACTTTGTTTCAAAAATAATTTGTTGTTTTAACCAAAGAAATGTTTGTGATCGTTTAAAGGTTGTGTGGCTGAGCTTACATTTCAAACACAACTTGCAACTTAAGCATTGAATTTGATTGTAACAGCATTGCTTACAGCAGTGGTCTTTCAACTGCATGTAAGTTGTGACTGGACTTAAATGTGCAAGAGAAGACTAAGATGCTTCATTTTTTTTGAAAGTAGTATTAAAGTACCTGCTGTCTCTGTTATGTTTGTGATCTTAGGTTGACACTTAATTTCATCCCATAAATGAGGTAAATTGAAAATATTGCTCCCATAACAGTGCAGCAATCAAAATTGGGAGATGCATTGAGGGGTGTCAGCATCCCAGAATCCCATCACATTCCCACTTCCACCAACAGTAAGTTCTGGGAGGGAAGGTCCAAGCTTGATCTTCCTGACCCACAGTCATTTCAGGCCCTTAAGTGGTCAATTGATATTCATTTTATGATCACTTCAAGGTCTATTTCTGCCTCAGTTGCAATTATCTCAGTTTCAGGTGGGACGAGAAAGAGTTGGCCAAACCAGCTGGTCAGCCAGTACAGCAGG